GGTCTTAATAAAGCTGTGTGTGTATTCTGTTATAACGTCGGACCTGGAGGCTGTTGTTGAGTTCTACGCTGCCTGGAGTATAGGAGCTCCATCTATACTTCCTTCCTGCGGTGAATCTGTATAAGACCGGTGGTCTTAATAAAGCTGTGTGTGTATTCTGTTATAACGTCGGACCTGGAGGCTGTTGTTGGGTTCTGTGCTGCCTGGAGTATAGGAGCTCCATCTATACTTCCTTCCTGCGGTGAATCTGTATAAGACCGGTGGTCTTAATAAAGCTGTGTGTGTATTCTGTTATAACGTCGGACCTGGAGGCTGTTGTTGGGTTCTGTACTGCCTGGAGTATAGGAGCTCCATTTATGTTTCCTTCCTGTGGTGAATCTGAATAAGACCGGTGGTCTTAATAAAGTTGTGTGTGTATTCTGTTATAACGTCGGACCTGGAGGCTGTTGTTGGGTTCTGTGCTGCCTGGAGTATAGGAGCTCCATCTATGTTTCCTTCCTGTGGTGAATCTGTATAAGACCGGTGGTCTTAATAAAGTTGCTTGTGTATTTAAGAGATAAAAATTATGGCAATTTCCTTAATTACAAGTCTTATTTCACTCTAGTTAGATATTTAGGAATTCCTATTTTACCTCTATATCCCGTATTCCTATTGGTGAATTTTCTTCAATACATTTTTATTTTTCCTTCTTATCTCCACTCCAATAATATTAGGGTATCAAGTTGTGACCCTTGATGGTGTCTGTTTGATAACCATCATGACTGAGTGAAGTAGATTGTGTCTGCCTTTGACATTAAGACTGGGAGCACTACTCAGTGGCAGGCCAACTTAGCTCCAAAAGAAATGGCCACCTTTGACATGAGAAACAGACGCCATGTGCAGCCGCTCATGGAACATTGCTAACATGCATGCTAACATGAAGTACAAACTCTGCTCTTCCTGTATTCCTGGATCAGGAGACCTTACAGGGTACTATCAGCCGGGCCAGCTGAACTCAGGTTTTTTAGTGAGCTTGTTACTGCTCCCTCTCCTTTTTCATCCGTGCTTGGGACCAGCAAAGGCTGAGTTTAAAAAAGTCGACATTTTAAAATTGTGTTAAGTTTGTAAAACTTACAGTGAGTCTATGCATTTTATAATCGTTAAATATATTTAAATGTCGTGGTTTGGTATTTTAAATATCTCTATCGTATTGAATCTTAATATAAAAAAATTAAAGTAGAAAAAAAATTTCCGATAAACACAAAACTTTTGTTTAACAATTATTGACACAAATTCGCTGTTCAATTTCATTTAAAAATATTTTATTGATTAATTTCTAGTCATGAATTCTAAATTTACCAATTTGTCATAACCAAATAATATTTATATTTACAAAACATCAGAATCAAAAGTGAAAAATATACAAAATCAAAACAAAATATACACATAAATATTGAACTCATTATTTTCAAATAAGAAAAACAGTCACAGAGTCTATGTGAGAGATATTTTAGCATACAGTAAACTCTCCTATAACGCGATTAATGTGTTCCGTGTTGTATGAAATCGCGTTATAGGAATTCGCGTTGTACGAAATAAAACTTGTATGACGCGAATGTTGTTAGGATAAATTGTTAGTGACAAATATCATGTATTTTATTTTATAACGCGTTATACGAAAATTCGCGTTGTATAAATAAATTTATCGCAATTTTTTTTATCGCGTTGTACGAAATCGCGTTGTAAAAACTCGCGTTATAGGAGAGTCTACTGTATATAATATATGTAGATATATTTACATATATAATTTATAGATGTCGCTCTGTCATCTTAAATTCTGATATGAATGATCAGGATTGATTTTTCATGGTTTAATATATAATTATGAATTATTGTTTTTTTTTTTCATGTGTTAAGCGTATTTTCGCAAATTTAGCCTTAAATACCCATTTCTTGGTTTCTCAAGAAGCCTCTGGGACCAAAATTCTTTTTGGTCGCAGTGGTACAGCCTACTCCACGCTGACAAGCGCCAACAGCGCGAACCCCGTTCGTGGATGGCTTTTCTTGATTTATCAAGAAATTGGGTTGGCTAGTTTAGTCATAGTTAGTAATAAACGTTAGTTTATCTTTGCTCCACTAGATGGCGCTCTGCCATCTAAAAAGCACATGTGATTGTGGTCAGGAGATGTCTTCTTTATTTTTAATATCAACACCTAAGCCACTTTTTTTTTCTATTGTTTTTCATATGTATAAATATATGATATAAAATTATTAGATTTTTAAACTGTTCGAATATTATTCTAATTATTTTGAATATTTCTGGAAACAGCTTCTAAATTCATACTACAGATTTATTTTTATTGAATGCCAGCTGTTCATTACGTCACAAAGGGCTACGTCTATTTTATTTCTTTGATATATGCAAATTTGATTCTATAATCTATTCCAGTTCATCGCGGTTACCTAGAAGTCCTTGTGCACGTGCATTGTCAGCTTGAATGAGCGTGTGAACACAATTTTCAACTTTTACATGTTATTTAAGTATATTTTATTTATTGCCAGTTGCAAACAAGACACGCTATATCCGATATGGATAATTGCGCGTGAAACTATTTACAATAATTCATATTGTAGTGGAGTAGGTAACAGAATTATCAAAAAGAAAATAAACAATTAAGAAAAAAGAGCATTGAATAAACATCTATGTGATGATTTAAGACCATGGAATTGTTGTAAATAGGCTAGATATCTACTACCACATGTTCCACCCCATGACTGTATATAACTTCTTATGTACTGCACATAGAAAGCCTCAACTAACATCAATCTGTACCGCGTAAGAATCTAATAAAGTTTAGCAACTGTACAGATAGAAGGAATGGAGACTAACAGGAGAAAATTAAGGTTAAAACTAATCAGGCTTAGGACAGAAGTCGAAGCAAGGCCTAGCAAAAGAGGCTTAAAACTAGCCCAACTATAAATAATTTACAAGACAATATTTCCTGGGCAAGACCGGACGTATCTTGTGACCGCGGAAACCATAAAAGTCGAGTAACGCCCCGTATTTCCGGAACAAGACCGGACGTATCTTCCGTCAAAGGCAGTAGCAAAGACCAATCAGAAGACATCACCTAAATAGGTCAACCAATAGAAAAAGGCCATGTGACACCTTTCGACCAATGGGAAAGAAGACAGGTCTTGGTGTTAAATCGAGAAGCAAGAATTGTCAGTCTACGCTTGGCTCTCAACAAGGTAACACTTGCTCTAAAGATCTCCCTCTCTCCTCATCCCATTCCTTCTTGACGTCAGACGCTTTTTAGTGGAATCTCTGTTTGTTTATTTCACCTTTGGCCCAGCTGTGTCGCCTTCCACCACGACTGCACGGTAGAGTTGACATCGAGGTTCGTCTAGCATCAGGTAACACTGGTCCCAGAGGTCCCAAGATATCACATATATATATATAAAAATCAATGTTTGTATGTTTGTTTGTTTGTTTGTATGTCCGGTATACAAATTCGCAGTAGTTCACTAATTCAAACCAAAATTTCCATACATAGGTAAAAAATACGGGGAATACGATAGGCTATTTTAAAAATATATATAAATCAATTATTAAAACTATATATTCAAATTATTCTACTTAGCTCACGAACAGCGCTCTCTATCAAAGATTAGATTAAATTATGCTGATGCAAACAAATAGATAATGCTAATAACAAACAATTATTTAAAAAATCTTATCTAAATATATATCACTCGGGTAGATATGCACACGGGTCAATCCCGGGGCGAAGCCCGGGTCACCCGTCTAGTATACAATAAACAAATAAACAACAACATAAACAGATAGAAGAAATCGCAAGGTAGTTATTTACAATATGTTAAACAATGATGGAAGCTGATTTAAAGAAGTTATCTGTAATATTTAGTATCGTGGAGAGAGAAAGTTGATCAAGTTGAGCCATTTACAATGAGTTATATTCTAAAGTAACTTATTAATTATTTACATTGATGTAAATCAAGTTGCATAGTAGTGTAGTTCCTCAAGCTGGATGAAGCTGCATATTAAGTATATTTTAGCTTGATCACAATTATTGATGGTGAATATAGAAATTAGATTAGTCCTAACCGACTATGTTTTTATGGAACAATAATCTCCATGTATACATTCTACCTTTGCCAAAGTTGGAAGTCAATTTTATATTTTTCTGCAGACTCTTTATTATAAATAGACAGCTTCATGCAGCTTGAGGAACTACACTACTATGCGACTTGATTTACATCAATGTAAATAATTAATAAGTTACTTTAGAACACATAACTGATTGTAAATAGCTCAACTTGATCAACTTTCTCTCTCCACGATACTAATTATTACAGATAACTTCATTAAATCAACTTCCATCATTGCTTAACATACTGTAAATAACTACCTTGCGATTTCTTCTATCTGCTTATGTTGTTGCTTATTTGTTTGATGGATATGTTTATTCAATGTTCTTTTTTCTTAATTGTTTGTTTTCTTTTTGATAATTCTGTTACCTACTCTACTACAATTATTGTAAATAGTTTCACGCGCAATTATCCAGATCGGATATAGCGTGTCTTGTTTGCAACTGGCAATAAATAATTTTATATATAATAAATATAATCTGTATACATTTATAGTCAAAATGTATTTTATACAACTATTTTTTGAACTGGGAAAGAGATGGAAGGAAATTTTGAGAGAATTGCTTTTGTATGTTTGTCTTTTTTCTCCTTGTATATAGCCAATTTGATATGATGTTAGAAATGTATTGAGGCAAATATCCCTAAGTTTGAGATTTCGCGTTATAGGATGTTAATAAAGTTAATAATTTTTTTTTGTAGAAACGACATTTAACAATTATCCCACAAATGTTTCTTTTGAACGAAATATCGAAATTTTTTTCAAGGAGAAATGAAGATTATTTCTATCCTTAGGGATGAGGTATGAAAGGATGAATTGTGAAGAGCAATGATAAACGGAAAAATAAAAGTGTCCAGGAATGGGAAACGAACACACAATGTTCCGCTTACTGGGCAGATGCCATGTCCACTAGGCTAACCTGTACGTATTTTTCCGTTCATAAATAATACATAAAGTAATTTATAATACACTGCGGCTTGTGATTGTAAAATAACACTCGAAGTTAATCCATCCTTTCATACTTCATCCCTTAGGTTAGAAATAATCGTTATTTCTCCCCTTGGAATAAATTTCTATTTTTCGTTCAAAAGAAACATTTGCGGGATAATTGTCAAATAACGTTCTACAATCATAAGCCGTATTATATTGTAATATAAAGTTAATAATAATAAATGTATTTTATAAATTCAATTATGTAATTTTCATTTATATCTAAATTCAACCGAATATTCGCCTTTTTAATATATAATAATTATATAGGGTAAATCAATAATTGATATATGAAAGCGATTCAAGTATCTTTTTTATAATATGTTAAAATACAAATGTTTTTATTATTAATTAAAAATTACCTTTATATATTTTTAGTAAATATGAAGTTTTAAAAGGCATATATTTATGAATTATATGAAACAGTAAAATATTAATGCAATCCTCATATCGAATATAAATTTCAAGTTGAATGGTTTTATTTTGCCACAGCTGGAACACGCATTGGTAGTCAAAAATGTTTAATTATATATTTTTATTTATTTTCCTAACACAAATATATGCAATATATTAAATCTTATAAAAATAATAGTAGTATTTATTATACATAGGTAAACATTAAACTCGTCATTTGTATAGAATTTAAATTATTCGATTTTTAGAGCTTTTTCACTGAATAATTTTTGGTATTTGACCAAAGTTGAGAAATTAAAGGCAAACAAATGGCCATTTTATCTGACAATCAATGTATTCTGGGTGAGTTAAAAAAAAGTAGAAAAGTTTTAAGTTGCGAAATAGTTTTCTAAAGTTAGCAAATTTAACAACTTTCTTTTTTTTTACACATTTTCAGCTTTAAAGTAGTAAGAGTTAAAAAGGATTTGTTATTAAGATAGAAAATATAATGAATAAAATATTTATTAAATAAATATCATATGATATGAAACAAAATAAAATATTTAAATTCACTGAAAATTAATTGACATATAAAAATTACTCTGAAATAATTCAGTAAATTCTACCATCGAAAACTGTGATCTTTATTAACGGATGGTCTTTAAAAAATATTTTAATTATGTAAATATAGCAGAACTTGCGAACTTGAGAGAACAACCATTACCAGGATTTCATTATCCAGGAAGTAAAGGTTATTACCCAGGAACTATAAAACTGAGTTCAAAGACCTTCTTCTTCCTGGAGGATGGTAATCATGTAAAAGACAAAGGAGGTACCACTATCCAATCAGAGTTCAGCATGGATAGCTAATATCCAACCAAAAGTCGCCACGTAGACGATTTCAACCAATGAGAGCAATAGAGAGTTACCGAGGAAAATCTCGGACTCAAGTTAGTCAGTTGGGAGCTCGCCACCACAAGGAGCAAGACGTGATTAAGCCCTTCTCACCCAGGTAACTTCAATGTTCAGAATGTCATAGTCAAGTGCCCCATTAGTCAAAAACCTTCTCTCCCTTAATCGCTAGGTCCTCTTCAACCCCATCCTGTGTCCCTCTCGTTATTTCCCCTGTGAAAAACCCTCACCTCGACCAGACGACTGCGCCATCAACCACCACAAGTCACCAACCCTACAGTAAGTCAACAGGGTCTTACAACAATCAACAAACAAAAAAGGGTCCCAATCCAAACAATCAAACCAAAAGGATAATATATTACATATATATATTTAAAATAAAGAAGGCATCTCCTGACCACGAGCACATGTGATTTTTAGATGGCAGAGCGCCATATAGTACAGCAAAAATAAACTAAACGCTTATTTAGCTTGCTCCGTGATATTTGGCCAACCCAATTTCTTGATATTTTTTGGTCGCAGTGGTTACAGCCTACTCCACGCTGACGAGCGCCAACAGCGCGAAACGCGTTCGTGGATGGCTTTTCTTGATTTATCAAGAAATTGGGTTGACCAAATATATAATATTATAATATCTTTTATTTTTTATATTGTTTTTTCATATATATATATATATATATATTTTTTTGAAAGTAGAGCAATCCATACTTAATTCATTAGATAATAAAGGGCATATATTGGATTTAATAAACATTTTATTAAATCCAATATATGCCCTTTATTATCTAATATATATATATTGCCACGTGGAAAATTAGGGAAGACAAAAACTTCAGGAGGAAACAAAATTTAGTTCAGGGAAGGACCAACTATGAAAGGTAAACAAAAGATAAGCCACGAGGGAAATTTACAGAGTCGCAAGATATAAAACATAAAAATGACCACTCTGTTAAATAAAAAATAATAAAATTAAGAAATACTATGTTACATAAATAAAATTAATAAATACTATGTTACATAGCTTCTTCCCTATGGGAGCTGTGACCCACAGCTAGCAATTATTGTAGATACCTACGTGGTTTTAACGTGCTTCTGCCAAGGATTCCATCGAAGTCTTGGAACCTTGTCCCTAGTACCTTTGCGTCCTTTTTCTTGTGGCGTGAAGAGCGGCTTTGTCGTCGTATCGTCTATAGGGACATCGTCGTCTTCGAGGGAAGTCTTGGCTTTAGCACGGCGGTGGAATCCTGATGTCAGTCTCCGAAAATGTAGTCACAGCACCCATGGCTTCAAGGTCTTCTCGGCGATCTTCAGTTTGTCTTCCCTAACTTACCCAGCATCTCCACCAAAATGCCACGTGGAAAATTAGGGAAGACAAAAATTCAGAAGGAAACAAAATTTATTTCAGGGAAGGACCAACTATGAAAGGTAAACAAAAGATAAGCCACGAGGGAAATTTACAGAGTCGCAAGATATAAAACATAAAAATGACCACTCTTTTAAATAAAAAATAATAAAATTAAGAAATACTTTGTTACATAAATAAAATTAATAAATACTATGTTACAATATATTGAGTTTTTTCGATAAACTTTTGTAAAATTGTGTTGACCATCAAAAATTAGTAAATAAATTATTTTGATCCAATATATTATGCGCCTTTTTTCAAATAAATAAATGAATGAAAAAACAATAGAAAAAAATAAAAGATAAGTGGGTCAGGTGTTGATATTAAAAATAAAGAAGGCATCTCCTGACCACGAGCACATGTGCTTTTTAGATGGCAGAGCGCCATCTAGTGGAGCAAAAATAAACTAAACGTTTATTTAGCGTGCTCCGTGATATTTGGCCAACCCAACTACTCCATGCTGACGAGCGCCAACAGCGCGAAACGCGTTCGTGGATGGCTTTTCTTGATTTATCAAGAAATTGGGTTGGCCAAATATCACGGAGCAAGCTAAATAAACGTTTAGTTTATTTTTGCTCCACTAGATGGCGCTCTGCCATTTAAAAAGCACATGTGCTCGTGGTCAGCACAGACACACACACACACACACAAATGACTTCTTTATTTTTAAATAAATAAATATTTTCAAAAAGTCATATCCTGACCGCATATGAACATTTTAGATGGCAGAGCGCCATCTAGTGGAACAAAAATCAACTAAACGTTGATTTGAATTGTTCTATGATATTTAACCAACCCAATTTCTTGATATAATCAAAATATTGATTTTATTCTTTTTTTCACACATATATATAGTGACATAGTTTGAAATGTGTATAGCTAGAATTGCTATGTTTCTCCTTTCTTCTGTCAATATATAGAGTTTCTAGAGATATATAAAGTGAGGAAGATTTTAGTGGTCAGTTTTCTAGAAAGTTACATAATATCAAGGCAGAAGATTATGATCAGTACTTGGCAACTTCTGTCTATTATCAAAATGGCTTGATAACGTCGTCATTTCCGGCGTCTACGCTGTGGTGGAGGAGGCATTTCCGGGTGTGACAAAGCCACTTCCGGCATCGTGTGGCAGAAAATCCCCTGAGTTCGTCTAAAGAAAGAATTCTTAAATGAATACATTCGTCTGCCTTCACATTAAGTTAAATACAGATGATTTTTATTGATATCTTTCTTTCTGTGAGTGGATTTAATTTTATCTTGATTTACACTTTTTATAAAATATTATTATATTTGTGAAAGTATTTTTTTTAAATAAATATTCATTTTTTTTCTATAAAACTAGTGCTATTTCTTTATTTAAATAGATAGAAAAAAAAATATGATGAATTTTTAAATCAATATAAAATATATATTACAGAAAAAATATATTTGTATTTATTCATTAATAAAATATAGTAATTATATAGAATGTTTTATCATCTTTTTCATATGATTATTTTATCCTTTGTATTCAAGCAATATAATTTAATTGTATATAACAACATGGAGGACACCTAAATATTAAACATATTCCGATATATTTATAGAGAATATATGCAAATAGACATAATATTTATTAAAATATTATATGTTATTATATTTATTTTGGAGTTGTTTTGCAAAATTATGCAAATAAACGTGAGCTTATTAAAAAAAAATAATGTACACTCATAGATAGAACTTAATTTTTTTAGTTACTGATATTTCAGTGATTCACTGTCACTTTTCTCAAGGGAATGACCTGTGTCACTGATATATCGGAAACTAATTAAAATTTGGTTAATGTAGCCATATGTATATCTAATCAAACTTCCAACCAATTAATTATCTTCAAAAATACTTTTTTTTTCAAAACTATTATAGACGCGTATGATTCTTTTAAAAATTAAAAAATATCTACTGTACAATTTTTAAAAGAATCATACGCGTCTATAATAGTTTCGAATTTTCATAACAGATGGTGCGCTAATGCATCATAATATATATATGTAGTAAGGTAGTCGATCCTGTAGGATAGTGTGTTGGTTAAATGCAGTCGTTGTGGTCTCAATGTTAGAGTGGGTTCAGGCGTGAATGTATTGCACCAAAGAACGAGACATGGTAGATGTCACCACAGAGATGGCGAGAGAGTAAGTGTAGCCGGCGCAGGTAGGGGAGAGATCTGTCTAGAGGGGTCTGTAAGCATTGTC